GATAACAAGTGTTGAAAATAGGAAAGTGGGAAAAAAATCAACTCACGTATTACTCATCATCACATAGAGAACAGAAAAAAAAAACTATTTCGTACTTCTTTATTTCTATTTTTTTTCACCTGTGCAGAGCAAAAAAAACTAACGAAACATACTGTTAAGAAAGGAAGCAGACGCATGCTGTCGAATATTCGCGACAAAACAAAAAAACCTCTTCTACCCCTGTAAACCATTCTTTTTTTATCTACTAAAACAAATTGTAAGTAAATGCGTATACTAACTTGGAAAAAATTAATCATACCCACAACCATCGTCATAAAAAAAATTATATTAATAAAATCAGTGCTTTTCTTACTTTATATATTACCCTAGAATTAGACAGCTCGATTCGACTCGTGATGTTCAATTGTAGGTATTTTATTAAATTCCGGAAATTCTTAGTTGATAATAGGAAAATATTTCATTTACATTGATGGAGATGGATAGAAGGTACTCATAGAATATACTTAAAAACTCAATAGTATCATGGCTTTGTAAAAAAAAAAAGAGAAGCTAGTCCTTTTAGAGTCACTCTCTCACAATCTCTTATAGAATAAGAGTAATAACGACATAAATACTCATAGCAACACACTGTATAAATCAAGAACTAGTCTCAGAGGTCTTATTTTCTTTCACAATGCAAATATTGAACATTCATTGTTTCTGTTTTTAGATTATTTTATCTGTTCGCTTCCAATGCCAATCTTGCCAAAACAAGCATGGTCAGAACTGAGTAGGTTGAGATTGTTGGCTCCGAGTGGCAATACACAGGGTATATTCATTGTTGACGAATCTCCATTTCAAGAGGAAGAAACAGCCGCTAGTGCAAACAACGGATATAATTTCATTGCCGGACGAGTACTTCCAAGTGCTGATATCTACAAAGAAGGTGCATATAGACTTGAAATGAAATTTTCAGACCAGTATCCTTTGAAACCTCCAGAAGTGCGCTTTACTACACCTATCTACCATGTGAATGTCGATAAAGATGGTAAGTAACTATCCAAACAGAAAATATTGTTCAGATCACCGTTAAAAAAGCTCTACTACATCTAAGCAATTCTTTCTCGTTTTTCGTATTCGTACGTACAGGCTTAGTTTGCATCCCAATTGTGATGCACGTCGATAAATGGAATCCGAATACTCATTTGGCTGACATAGTCAAAGCTATTGTTGACGCTATTGATCATCCTAATACCGATTATGCAATGAATCAAGGTAAGTTTATATTTATGTTCCTGATTGTTTCATTAAGTAATTGTTTTTATTTTGCTGTAGACATACTTAAAGAGTATATGGAAAATAAGACTGAATACGAGCGTAAGGCAAGAGAAATGGTGAAGAATAAAGCATTGCCTCGGCAATGAACACAATTATTCACTCACTCATGTTTACATTCATCTGCATTATTCGATTGACACATTTTCTATCATGACCATTGGCTATGATGTATCCTTCGTTAGATTTCTTTTTATTTCTTGTATGATCTTATGTCACATGTTGTATTCTAGTTCTTTTTATTAGTTTTGACCTATCTTATCTTTCCATTCATTCCTCTCGAAGAAAAGAAACATCACCAATATGTCATTGGATTTGAAGGAAAGCGGATGTTATCCAAGATACATATATGATGTATGCTCTTTCTCTTTTCAATTTGTTTTGAAATAAAAGAAGTCTTATGCCCATAAAACGAGCAATGAGCGAATTATAAACAAGTTCAATGTATGCATGATCAACCGTGTGTTATACACGAGATGTCTTAAAAGTTACTACAAGAACAACAATTAGCATTTATCGACGTCATAATAGTCAACAGAGCTGGCTTTTCCTGAATGATGTGACAGTGATCCAAATTTTCATTCGTAAAAATCGAATTTCACAAATACTGTTCAAAAATAAAACCTTTAATTTCGATACAAAACTTCAGTTGTTTTTTTCCAATTATTGAACAAATTTTAGATGGATGGAAATCTCTAAATGAACTGTAGCTTTTGAGCTAATATTTTGCTCATTAATAGCGAAACATTAGACTCGAACAATCTTCAGATGGTTTATGCTCTTATCGAGTTTTGATCGAGATATTGAATTTTTCGTGAATTCTACTATAGAGATCTACCATTTTTAAATGAAATCGTATTTTTGAACTTTAATCAGAAACTTTGTCCATAGAGCATTCTCAATGAGACCATATTGTATACAGAACTTCTGAATTTAGTCTTTCTAGAATATAAATCTTTTAAAACCTAAATGTTTTTCCATCAATATCATACGAAATATGCATGTTTTAAACGATTTATATTCAAAAGAGAATACTCTCAAACGCTGTAAAATGTTTTATATAATCTGATCTTATTGAGAGCTTTATATGAGCAGCGTTTCAGATCAAACTTCAGAAATACAAATTTATTTTAAAACTAAAGTCCATAAAGGTAGAATCCACCAAAACTCGATAAGAACACGAATCATTTCAATTTTGCTCTAATCTAGTGGTCGCTTACTAGCGAGCAAAATACGGTCTCAAAACTTTAAATTCATCTAGCGATCCTTCTTTGCCAGTGTGTTAAGAAATCGGAAAAAAATGAAAGTTCTATATTAGAGTCCATTGTGGTTCTTTTTGTAAGAACAAAAACTTGGATCACTCTTTTATCATTCAGAAAAAAGCCATTCTAGGTATTGTATGTTTACAGTAGGCATGTGAACGACATGCTATTCCTTTTCATATTTTTAACGCAAAACTTTCTATGATAGTGTATTTGTGTTGTGCTGATTGTTGAGTAGGTAACGTCTTCTCTTCAGCAGCATCCATATTCACGCACACGCCTTACTATAGAATCTGATTTGAAAAAAATATTCAAAAAAAAAACAACAAAAAGTGAGATAACCACCATGATTAAGAAACAAACAAGTTAAAACGAAGATAAATAACTTTTTTATAAAAATTCTTTTCTACTGATCATACTAATAAAATGTTTTCTAATCTATCTTATTGAAAGTTTGCTTCTGTCTCATTTTAGATCCAGCCAATAGTAGACAATTCGATTTCTATATTAGTTGTTATTGCAGGATTAGATGGAACAGATTGAATATATTTCGAAAGAAAAGAAAATTTCTTTTGATAATTCTTTCAGAAAAATCATATTCGAATCGTGTAGAATTTCAGAGATAATATCAAAGTTGAAAACAACAAAATCTAAAAACAATGACATCTTTTTACCACTCGGATTACATGTTGACTTAAGTATATCGAATAATTTCTAATTATATTCTATTAGCTATTTTCAAATAAAAGAGGGGTGAATATTTTTGAAATAACTTTTTGAAAGGAACAATATAGAAACCTATGGATATCACTGTTTAAAAGATGAGATGAAACTGTATCGAATCGTATATAGCAGTTTTTTTTCTGACGGATTTCATCAGAGTTTACCATCAAGTTTATTGAAAAAGAAATATTGTTTAATGTAAAAGTTTTGAGATCTCAATTTTCAGGAGTGAACTAGAATTATTAACTGAAGATCTGTAGACTATGTAAGCCAAATGTCATAAAATTTATTCAGTTATGAATTATAAACATTTTTACTAAGTCTCATCAACATATTTTTCACGAAGGATTGACGTTTCTTCTGATTTTTTTCGACGAAGAATTCGCCTTATAAACATATTTAAAAGTCTTGATTTGTAAGAAATTTAACGGAAGACTTTGAAGAAACTTGTGAGAAAAAATCTGATATATTCAATTCTATGCAGTTTTATCTTCTCTTTTAAATAGTGAAAACTTCCGACATCTCTGTCTGGCTCTTATCAAAAAATATTCTAGAAATACTCACTCTGCTTATCTTTTGAAATGGATAATAGCTTCAGTATACTAATATTCAACTCATTTTTACAAAGACCTCATAATCTTTTTCACTTTATATCACTCATCTAAAAGTGAATTGACCTTCTATTCTATTTATCAACTGTCATCATAATGAATATCGTTGTTAGTATTATCAATTTTTGAAAGAGGTATGTGAGCAAACTGGCAACCTTGGTAGACATGTCAATATGCGTGTTTTATTGCCCTCGAGAACTAATAACAAGCATGGCAGTATAAGTAAAAGAGTATTTAGTTTCACGTTGCTCAATCTTGGGTATGGATGTGGGCGACTAAAAGACTAATACACTCACACCCATGCACCCTAAGTTTTATAGCGAATCAATAAAAAAATAAAATACGTTGTCATCAGTTTTTCTAATTATTGCTTGATTTTGCATTAAAAAAAATCTTTGTTATGATCAAGTAAAACGCGTGTTTGTGTACTTAAGTAATCGAAAGGCTGCTACGCATACCTGTTAACATAATGATTTAATATAAATCTATTTTTTTGTTCGCTAAAATTTCTAATGTAATCGTTTTCTCATGATATGACTTAACAAATAAAAAAATAATTTATTATTGTTGACATAGTCATATTATAAAAACTCTGTATTTTACAGAATATGAAAGACAATTCATCATCTTTTATCGTATTATTGACAAAACAGGTAGATTAACCAACCGACTACGCAGTTAATGTTTTCTGTTTGTCATTGGTAATATACAACATTCGTTTTCGTTAGTGACGTTTCTTATTCATCAGCTGATTGTTCACAACGATTATGGTTTATAATAAAGCTCGAAGAAGAATAGTTAGTTATATAGTTTGATCTTTTTCAATAGAAGAAGCTTTTGATTTGATTCGATGGCAAAACGTTACACAAAATTACAGGTAATGTTCTAGTTGAAAAATATTTATTGTGAATATTTAAATAAATAAAAACTCAACAATGAATGTTTTTCCCTTATCATATATTCTCTTTAAATATATACATTTACAAAAAAATTTAGAGTCATCCACTTCACTACCATTTTATTAAGATAGAGAATAACAACATTTGATTGTTCTGATTAATAAAGCAAAGATCTTTAGTTCATTTTTATTATGTTTTTGCAGAAGACACTTACAACCTATGAAGATTGGCCTAAAGCAATGGTAACAAAACAAACGTATAGCGAATGTGCATTCATTCTTCGTGGCACAGATAGAGGAAGACCAGCATGGCATTGTATTCTTGTTCCTGCTAGCCAAATTGCTGATCTAAATGCTCATCCACAAAATACAACGGCCGATATCACAAAATTTGGTAGTATAATTCAATATCTTAATAATCGAGATCAAATTATACTGACATCTGGATGGGGAATAGATCCACCCAGAATGATTCAAGAATGGATAGAAGAACATTATAGTAAGAAAAGGCCAATTTTATAAATTTATTTTTCTGCTGAACTGAATTAAATAATCAACAAGAAAAAGAATCGATAATAAAAGTTTTCTATATTCATTAGTTTTTCACTAGTCAGTAAAACTTTATCTGAAGTGTAGAAGCCGTTAATTCGTTACGCCTTCTAAACTTCTTCGTCAATTATTCAACTATGAAAAATTATAACAAGAATATTCGATTTTCTAACTATTTCGTAACACCCATATGTAGTAGTAATTTCTGAATTCATCATCCATGTTTTACCAATCAGCTATGTATCTAAGCAAAGCATCCACACCTCAATCTTCTCAGTATTCGAAAAAGGACTCTCGAGCATTATACATAGGCTTTCCAAGGGCTCCCCAGAAGCTCATAAGTGTGTCACAGGAGATCTCCGATGGATATCTCAATGTTATTCACAGCCTCACTTGGGGTTTCCACGAACTCTTAGTTGATATCCACACATTCATTGAAGATTTTGAACAAATTCTTATCCAATATTCAGATGATTCTAAGAGAATTTCTAGGAGACTCTTTGAAGCTTCTATAGGTCGTCAGAAAACTCTATGGAATCTCCAAAGTGTCTATTAGAATCTCAAATAATGCATAGCTAACCTCTAGAGATCGTTCAGAGGTCTATAATCGGTCTACTGAGGAATTCTTGGTGATTCCTTCTCGACTCCTTGTATATCCCCTACGAATATCTCAAAGGTTCTCCTACGACTGTCTTGAGATTCCCTGTAAATCGCCACAGGATTCCTTTAAGATCACTAGATAAAAATTTGGATATTTCAAGTTGAATAGTCGAACAACTTTTCGAGTTCTGCATGCATGAGCTTTATAATTTTCAAAGATTTATTATTTGGATGATGAAGTGTTTTACCAATATTTTGATTAAGTAGTCAACGTCTTAACATGAACTTGTAAAAGTATAGCTGTTATAGTCACTACTAGTATAACTAAAACATCTTTCTTAACTTCAAAATTGCATACATGCAAACAAAGACAATGAAAAAAGTAGAAAACTAATATCAAATATTCTAATAAATAAAATGAAATCATGAAAAAGTTTAAACCATGGAAAACGATTTATGAGTTCTACAATCAGAATTTTTTTAAAGTGAACAGTTGAATAAATGATCAGACATTTTTTCGTTTTCAAATCATTTTTTCATGTACGTATAGGTGCTGCTATTGATAGAAACATCGATTTCTTGTACAAAAATGATGACATTCGACTGTGTACAATGCAGCGCGCCATACCACAACAGAAAATAGGTGTTTATTTTAATTATTTAACGCAACACCGTTTCCATTATATTAAACTAACTGACACTTTACCATCAAGTTTAGCTCGCCGAGCAGGACTAAAAGACTATGATCGAATCATCTCTTTTAACGGTGTCAATGTCGAGAGTGATACTCATGATCAACTCACGCACCGTTTTCATACTGAAAGACATCTTCCAGTTCAAATGCTTGTCTGTAGTCCAGCCACATATGCACACTATAAAGAAAATAACAAACTTTTTCATAATGATCTTCCAATTATTCAACGTTTAAAACCTGTCTATGCAACAACAAGTAAATAACATACATTTAATTATCACTTTGTAGTTTAGTTATTATTATTGTAATTATCCATTTAATTGTAGCGTCAGATTTCAATACAGATACGCCAGCAGTTTCTATTAGTAATGAAATATTTTGTGCTATTCATTGGGAAAATAATAGCATTGTTTCTACGGTACCTCAGTCTGCGATTTTCAAATCACCTGAATTTACTAATGTAAATGATATCTGTTTTATCGAAGCAGAAGGACAATATCGAAAAGGACAAATTATTTTTATAGGTATATTGTTATTAAACATGAAGATTATTTAAAAAGAATTTCATTTATTTTTAGGTTCGCGAAGAGATTGTGAAAAGTTGAAGACATCTTCGATTGTATCAGGAATCAGTATCGCTTTCAGTATGGTAACGGATTCGTTTCTGAGAAAAAGACAAAATACTTTAGATTCAACTGCAAATCCAAAGCTTGGCACTACATATGATAAGTCTGTACCAGTCTTCGATACGAACACTACATTATCTTCACAACAATCACCTCAGGTATAAGCTATTTAAATGAGTGGATTATTTGTCAATGATTGTATGAATTCATAATAAAATTCAACTATACAATCACAGAAGATAAAAAATGAAAGTTGAATTTTATAGTTTTTATAATTGAATGCTCGAACACAAGATATTCTGAGAAAAAAGATTAACTTTTTTTTTAGATGCTGGAAACAGATAAAATACAAGCTCAAATTATTATAAAGAATGCAAATGATGATACCATATTGAGGCAAAGTATTGATGCTGTTCAGTACATTCAAGACCGTAAGTTACAACTTAATATAATAATCCACAAAAAAACTAAAATCTTTAAATCACCAATCATAAAAATATCTTCAACCGATAAACTGCATTCATTTTTTTCATCATGAAGCATACTCTTAAATGGAGATACTATCTAACATCATTCTTAAAATAGTGTTCTGCACAGGGACAGTTTTTGTAACCGAATCCGAATTATTGTACACAGTCCCCGAACGGAACTAATCGACACCCGGCCGATACTTTTCTGCTTCTATTATTTCATTATATGGTTCATAATAATTAGTAGACGAATTTTCATTAAAAAGGAATTTTTTAGACCGCTATGCTTTTATATATACAGCAGTTTGAAACAATAAAAATATCGATAAATGTTACGATATCATAAACCGTCTATTTGCGTTCGAATATGAGACTATACGCCGTACCTGAACAGATTCGACAAGTTGCATGACACTATACTAAAACAGTATTGAGTATTATAAGACTCAAATACTATGACAATTTCACCCCAAAAATGGTTTCTTATTCATTAGAATTGATCAAAATGATTTGTTTATAAACAATGAAGATTTCAAAACATAATAATCTATTGTCCTACTAAAGATTGAATTTCATTTCTTTTTTACATCTTTTAGGTACATATACTAAACTTGAAGAACTCCCAAATGAATTATTTTACTATTTATTCAGTTTCATCGACATTCTTCACTTATATAGTGCTTTTTGGGGACTCAATTCACGATTGAACAGTATTTTCGGATCATGTCAAAATCTACCTCTAAATGTCGATGATAAAATTGATCCAGTATTGATGAAATTCTATGCACCTTATGTAAATCGTTTGATAATTCGCACATTGATTAACTATGATTTTAATGAATTTCACAATTTACATACATTGATATTATGTGTTGAAAACTCACAGCATCTTCCACAAATTCAACCTAATATCATGCCCAATCTGATGCGCCTATCTTTTTTCTTAGGATCTAATTTTACACCGCCAAAACAATTAATTTGTGATATATTCTCTAATAGATTTCCATCTCTTCGTCACGTTAATTTGGGCTGCATAGACGAGTCCACGTGTGAATCATGGACTAAATCACCTTCTCTTCAATTTCTGTCAATTCTTTCTTGTAAACCAATGTCTTTTCTAGCCATTCTTGCCTCATGTCCCAATCTTTATCATCTTCAAGTACATATTTCGTATAAAAATAATAATATTGTCACATTGTTCCCACCATTTAATCATCCACTTCAACGATTGACTCTTTGGAGTGATAATACCGAACTAACTGTTAATGATATCGATAATTTTCTTACTAATACACCCAATATTAAATACTTGTATTTACAAACCATATATCCTATGCAGTTTATTGATTTAGTTCATGGTTTAGCCAATCGATTATATTATTTGTCTAAATTCGATTGCTATGTCAAAGAAATGTTGACCATTAATGATAGAAGCGGTAACTTAACTAACATACACCAAATTCGATCGTGTTTCAATCGAATTCAATGCCTAGAAGAAGATGATAAATTTCGAATTTTTGCTACTGTATAGATTTTTAACAAGTTGTCAGAATATATTAATAAGATTACTTTTGATACTTTACAATAATCGTTTCAATGATATTTGCCATTCATCTGGCAGGGCATTTTATCAAACTTTCTTTTTTTCTTATTCAAATAAATGATTCTGATTTATCAATTATTTATTCTTTTATTCATAAAGAAATTCAACTTGTGTATGGATGCAATTGAAGAGAGGATTATATCAAGTAAACGTAACTACACACACACATCCTCTCTTATTAAATAAACATTCCTTTTACTTCTCTTGGCTTGATCTGCATAAAAGACATATACGTATTCAATCAAATGGAAGTAAAAATGACCCTACACCACTTATACTCCGATTTGTCATTTTGAATATGTCACTATTAATTAGCTTTATTGAAATATTTTCTGAATTAATTTTATATCTAACATCATTATAAATAAACTCATATATTCGAAGATGTGAATGTGATTGTCAGTACCAGTGTAGGTCTGGGCATTGATGAAAAGAAGAGAAATCCACATCCATACTCTCTTTTTTTAAATTAAATGAATTATGTACTCAACATCTTCTTTCTCTACGTAAAAATCATCCTAACGAATCGCAGCAACGGATTCATAATTGTTCACCGATATAGAAATTCTTGAAACGGTGATAAAGAGAAATAATATTAAAAAAATTAAATGTTGTTAAAATGCTCCTGTCGGTACAATACTAAGTTTTAACTCACACAACACTGATATTTGCGAATTTATTTACTAAAATTTCCCAGTTGTCGTCTTGATGTCTTTTAGGCCTAGAATGTGTTTTGTTGGTCTCTATTTTCGACTTATTGTCATGAGCTGGGACTTTAATACATTTAATGTAAATGTAGAAAACTATGTTGTGGAGCTTATATCTGAAAATACCTGTAGTTGAAATAAAATATGAAATTTTAGGTTTCCTGATAGTATCAGACCTTCATATAAGACTTAATGAAGTTTTTGCTCGATTGTGATTAATTATTCCATATTTTACTCAATTCATTTTAAAGGTAGATTCATTGAAGCATTTTTTTCTTCTACGTGAATATAGTTAGAGATATCTAAGCTATACATTTTGGGTTTGTCAAAAGAGAAGCTATACTGGTAAGCTTTTTAATACAATTTGTTTAATTTGATACAGCATTACAAGCATATGAATTCGTAGACATACCGTAGAATCTTACGAATAGCACAAAATTATTAAGCACATGTCACTTCAAAATATTATTTTTAAAACATAGCTCTAGCAGATTCAGAAAATGACTAGATCATATTATCCGAAAAAGTACATCGTTGATACTTATCGGTTTTTTCGAAAAAAAAAACGTAAATGAATAAGTCGTGAAAATTGAACGTCCTTGTGGTGGAATATTTTTTGAGCCGAATTTTATAATATTGTTAATGGACTCAACTATTTTTGAGATGGAGTCTAGTTGAAATTATAAACTCAGATTAAAAAAGATATGATTTAGATATCCAAATACTCTAGACTCAATAATAATATTCAATTACATTTTCGTTCAATAATGCCATACGCTGAATAAAAGGAAAAGATCTATAGCGGATGTTTAAAAAACATCTCGATTAGCTGACAAAACAATTGTAATTATTGAATAAACGTGAATAAATATGAAGTGAATAAGCAGAAAAAAATGCCATCAGAAACAAATCTGATTGCCTCGCGAAATGCTTATTCATGGGATGTGGGTGTAAGTGTAAGCCTTCTTTTCATCCTCACTCATACCTCAGTGGTTTTTGCTTTTAAATAGCAAATCAAAGCATCGGATCATTTTGGTATCATTAATTTCTACTTCTCTGACCTTCTTAAAATTACATTCATCAAACTCAGATTGAAATTCACCAAGATCTAAACGAATTAGAACGCATAAAAAAACTTAACGTTTGTATCACTCAACAGATACATGCTGCAAAAATGTGTGCACACTACGTTTTAAGCTGACAATAATATTCCTTCAGTTAACGAACTTCATTTTTTGTAGTTTTCGAATCGATCACTCTTTTGTTTGAATTGTTTCATTGTTGACGATACTTTCGACGAATTTGAGCATTGGTACATCGTTTAAATAGATAATGCTTCGTTTTGAGTAGAAAAATGCGTTTCTTGTTTATTTGAAGACGCCGACAATGTCATACTAGCGCGCAAGACTTGCGTGCGATATAAAAGACAGATGTCATCATATTTATGTCTATCTTTATCATGGAACGAAAAAAAACTGGAATATTCGTCGAGTCATCAGTTTTCACGGATCTTGCTTGAAAGATAATGATAACAATACCCCTATCACGTCACAAGAAAAGTATATAGATGGGCAACGTAGCATCAAACGAAAAGCTACAACAAGAAAGAGAGCTTCTTTTAATTTTCATCTTATAGTGCTCGAAGGAAGTAACTGCTAAAATTATGGTCCAATAAAGCATAATAGACGACTTGATATCTCTTAAGGTAATAACATTGCAACAAAATATGACTTGGATGTATTTTCACATAGCAATCTTTTGAGAAGACAATGCATTTCTTAATTAAAACTAAACCCATTTGATAAGTTGTAGTATGTTATGAAATGAGTCCATAACGAATTCTTCTTCTCGATCTTCGCTTCTGATGCATTAAAAATTTTCGGTATTTTCCAGCTGTGTCTAAGATTGACCTAGTCTTTGACTGGAAACTACTGTGGAGTAGAGATGTCCCAAAACGGAGTACAGTAGAAAATAGAGCATTCTACGGCTCATTTTGCTTACTGAAACTTTCAACTTGGTAAAGTTTCTGCATTCTAAAAACATCCTTTTCATAGCAAAGTTCTTTTAAGTTCGACAAGGGGCTGCAGTACATAAAATGGTGCTTCATGCGAATACACTCTTGACATATTTGCTAAGAACTCTTACTAAGATTCTTAGGACGAAAAAATGTTCCGCATTAAAAATATAAAGCCATTGAAGTACAATACCGACACTTCAGAGTATAACGCAACTCCTATAAGGTTTCATTTTAAACATGAATGGTTTGGTATTTTTGACATCGAGCACTTTTTAGTCCAGCAGATCTCAAAAACGTTTTGTATTAAAGGTTTCGAGAGTGTAGCGACGCCAAAAACCAATGCAGGTTTTACAGCTCATGCCGAAGTTAAGAAAGCTTCTGTATAAAAGCTATTTTTGTTCAACCAATGTGATGCAATGATTTACAGCAGCTGTGATTAAACACAATACTGCATCTGTAGGGTACGTATCTAATTATGATGTTAGAGTAAGTGAAACAAAGTCTAAAACCTAGACTCACATCGGCGCCCAGATTCATACGAGACCTACACGAACACTCGAGAATTTTCTTGTGTAAAATCGGTGTCGAAAAAGAATTCTTGATTCTCTCTGTTTTCAATCGTTACAATTCGTTTTTCTTTCAGATCGACTGCAGACACTTGACTTATGAATACTGACAATATCATTACTCATATTCCATTTGAAACACGTGTTCATCAACAATGTATTCGTCTTTCCAATCTTCCACTATTGTCATCGATAGTCAAAACAGTGCAAAACGAGAAGCCACTGGAAAACTATACAATATGGAATATACAACATGAACTAGGAGACGTGACTGCACAAATTGAAGCTCTTTTGGTTCTAGGTGCACCACCTTCGAATCTATATTTTCTTCCACCACCGTACACGCATCACAAAAGCTTTGAACGATTCGTTATTGAGCATTTCCAAGTTCCAGAGGAAAACTTCTTTCACGCAGCACCGTACTGTTTAAGCTATAACTACGAAAAGTATCGTTTGGCACAGGTTTTATTTGAATTAAATCGATTGATAACGATGGAACTCACAAAAAAGAAAGTGACACCCATGAAGTTACTTGTGTTAGATAGTGGAGCCTGTTTTTCTGAAGCATTGGCTAATCTCTATGAGATTGATGACGGTCGATTAGATCCACATCAACTTGTTGAAAATCTTCCAGCAACATTGAAAATTGAGAGATCTGATGCATCATTGCTTCTATCACACTTGGAATCGATCGAAATTCGTCTGGTCGAACAAACGTCACGTGGTCTCTTCAAGTATATTGAGCAGCCGAGTATTGAAAAAGCTCTAAATCGAATTGGAACATCGATCGTTGACGTGGCTTCCAGTGAGCCCAAACGACGACTAGAACCATTGTTGATTGCGGAGGCTTGTCTAAATATGTTATCGTATTTGTTTTACGATGCTCCGAAGTCTCTGCGAATTCCAAAGCCATCACAATCACAAAAATGTCTATTACTTGGCTATGGTGCTATTGGACAAGCGATTAGTCATGCTTTAATGCGTGGTGGTGACTTGAACATATTTTCTAAAGGTTCAGTCAAAGTTTGGGATCAAGATGCTTCTAGACGTCAATTAGCACAAGACGAGGGTTTGGAAATATTCGATAATTGGGATAGCAATGAAGAATTTGATTATGTGATTGGTTGTACGGGCCGTTGCTCATTACCCATGTCGTCTTTCTCTGTACTACGCAATAATGCTCACTTGATAAGCGTCTCATCGGGAGCCATCGAATTTCCATTTTACGAGATGGTTCAACGTGCATTATGCGACACTGAAATCGGCCTATCCAGTGCCCAAATCGATGAACTCACAAGTGAAGATATCCATCGTAATATTGAATTCCGCATTGACAATCGACGAAAGCTGACTGTCGTCAACGGTGGAATGCCCATAACATTTGTAGGAATTCTAAATCCTATATTGCCGGAAAAATTCGACGTCACTCTAAGCTGTATGATATCAGCAAGTGTTCAAGCTGTGCGTGCAAGTCAGCAAATGAATGATCAACATCGAATTATACCGCTTGACTCAACATATTCGGCCTTGATATGTGATTGGTTTAAGCCTAAAGTCGAAAAACACTCTGATACGACTGGATGAATCACAGTGATTGTTACACTTCTATTCTGCATATATCTCAATACAGAGAAGGAATAGAATATTGATTTCTCTAGAAACTTCCAAAGAAAGAAATTCTTGTAATTTTGTTATGACGAATTTTTCGATGACTAAAAGTGCTGATTTGCGTGATGTTGCTATTTATTATAAGAAAATAAGGGAAAACTTCAGAAATCATTACGCTTTTAATGAACACGCAGAGACAAGCATGTCAAATCAAATATTTTGATTTCGATGTTTTGATTCTTTACAAAAATCAAATATAGATTTCATTGCTAGGTCCCAGCGTGTGAATATGAGTGTACATGAAGAGAAGATGTTCATTTACACTCAAATTCATACTCTATTCCACAAGAAAAGGGTCATTGACCCAACACTTGATTGTTAAACTCTAAACTTTGAATTTTTTCATTGATGAGGAAACGTCCTTCATTGTTCAGTCGCTTTGTCCTTAAGACTATTTCCATTCAATTGGTCTTGATGAATGATGAAAACGTCTATTTTGCTTTATTATTGCGATCTTTTCTTGTTGATTTATGGATCCAGAATATATTTAGAATTTAGATGATTATATTTTTAGCTGAAATTTTGCTCATAGATAGAGATTCTAGAGTGTGAGTGGGTGTGGGTGTGGGTATGGTTTAAGAAAATAACTATACCCACACTCACACCCTGCATATGTTGTTGATTGATGGTATTTTGTTCTAATAAAATTATAAAAAATTGAAAAGCAAAAAATCGATTAAGACTTTTGCACCAACCCAATAGATACTGTGATGCAAGTAGGTCGTAGTGGCGATCACAATGTGACCCTTAATTGCGAAAAATTACCACATCGTAGTCCATAGTTAGGGAAAAAATAGCAGTTGCTCGTAACTAGAAAGTTTTCATCTTAAATGTGTGTAATTGCCTTGATACTTCAAAATTATGATTGAAATGGTTCACAGTTGCAATGTAATTACGTCCTCATTTTTCGAAATCAAGAGTTACAATGCGATCGCAGTCACTGTATATCTGGGCTATCATTCGATAGTAATCGAGTGCATGAGTATGAATCACTTGTCTTGAAATGAATGTTATTGATTGAAATTAAGCCGTTGTATACTGGGGTAGGGTTGGTAGAATTTTTCTACCATCATTCCTCGCTTTTTCTTTCTTTTTTCATTTCTTATGTTTTAGTTGTTACATCTCCCGTTTTTCTGTCCTCACAAAACATACAAGCGTGTTCCGTTACCTCTTCTTCTCTTTACTGTTGTTATTCACTAGGTGTTTTTTTAGACTTTTGGTTTCTCTATGCTTTTTTCTTCTGTCTCTGTGCTTACTCTCTTCCAACAGTACGAGCAGAGTCGATTCTCAGCATAATGATAATGGAAGTAACGGTAAACTGTATTGAATTTTGTTTTATTGCTGAATACTTCATAATTATAACTTTCTCTCATTTTAGAATATAAGCACAACCGAGTCTTTCATCTAACGCATAGTAAAGACAAGAATTATACGATGAAAAATGCTTTACTCTTCATATATGCGTCGATTTTTTCTAGTTTACCTATGCAGGTGGTAAAACAGAAACTACTCATACACGATACCCTGAGGAAATTTTCGACATAGCCTGGTAGGATTTCTCTTCTCTGCTCTTCGTTGTTTCACAAAGTACCCATTCAATAAAACTGTAATAAAGAAAGCAACTGAACATGCATTACTTAAAAGAGTCACACAAGCAACCTATTCATTTCATTTACCATCAATATACGTAAAGGTAATATAAACAGCACAAAAAACATCATGACATCCACTACTGAAGAACTACAGAAGTATGTTGGACAAAGTTTTAGTAAAGTTAAACAAGAATTAGAAAGTCAAGGTAATAGAAGGCTTCAATCATGCTTGAATCATGAGTTTTGATTTTACAGTCATGTATCGTTCTTCTTTTAGGCTATAGTGTCCGTGAAATTCGTCTTGGCACCTACACAACAGGTGGCCGTGTATCAATGAGACCATACCTCGTTGGAGAGCCTGAACCTGAACGAGAGAAACGTGCGATTGTCTCATATAATTACGAAGATCCAGATGAAAAGTTACTGCCATTCGACGACAGGATTATTGACATTGATCTTTCATTTAAAGACTATGACACTAAAAAACTCTTATTTTCAGGTGTATTACAGTTATATTTTATTTAGTTGTAAGACATATGAATCAATCAACCTTTTAAACCACATATTGTACTGTAGTGTACTCTTTTACTTTTTTTAAATAAAATATTCATCAATAGATCGATCATAATGACTGATTTGAACTTTGTCCATACACGTTTTATCTAATCTCGCAATGTCAAGAAGCTGAACTGAAGATGAAATTCGATGGTTTCTATTTTGCCGACCATCACGTATTTCTGGTGGGTGTGAACATGGGGAGTGGGTGTCAATGTAATTGTTCATCTGATTCACATCCACACCCTACACACTTACACGACATTCATGCCCTACTCCAAAGAACACAATTTTCATTGTTTTTTTTAAGTAATATGGGTGCCGGTCTTCTCTTCACTCACAACTATGAATTTCTGATTTTAAAATCTATTGTTAAAATTGACTGTATCTACTTTTGAATAATAGGAGTTTTTCATTTTATGTTGAAATAATCTCGTAGAAAAATTCTAGTATTTATTTGAACGATAGTCCTTTAGAATCGATTTTATATTTTATATTAAGTGTCTTAGAGTATTTTAGTTCTTTTATCGAAAAATAAATTATTTTCACATGTTTTAGTTGCATTTGATAATATTATTCGTCATGTTGCTGAATATATTTTTGGTCTTAATCGATCATGTTAAATGTTTTAATCTTTTTTAATAGATTATTTTTATGCTGTTAATAGGATAACAATCATTATACTAAGTGAAATATCAACATTTACTATAGTAAGCTCACAATCACTACAATTCCTAAATACAATGGATGAAATAAATGAATGAATAACGCGTTAATATCAACAATATACACTACTTGTTCAGACTAATTAAAAGTAAAACAAATAAATTTTATTTTCTATAATAAATCTTCTTTCTTCTTCTAACGTCAACTAAGTCAATTAATTTTTATTGAAAATGAAATTGTTGCTAAATTAAATGAATTATTATCCAATCAACAGAATAGTAATTCATCAAGGTAACTTTCGGTACAAACGAAATCGAAAGCTGCAATTTTTGCCATTTGCAAGAGACACCTCGGTTCTATCGAATCGAACAATAAACTGTTTTTTTTTCTTAGAATTTGCATTGCATTTCCTGTTGTACACAGAAACTGGTTTCTCTAATATTTTTAACTGTCTTGATAATCATTGTTATGCTTAATGTAGCCATGAACACCACATCTTTCTAGGTTATGTTGTTAGCAAATTATAAGCATTTTCTAGTATCAAATATATTAATCTCTAGCACGCTAGTATTGAATCATATCCAAAGTAGTAGAGAAAGGATTTAATTCCTTATAAAGAGCTTATATACCCGTGAACTGCTCATAGGGGTTTGGTTATATTATTCAACATTCTATCGATTATTATAGATCTTTATGTATCTTGGTCAAACCTTGTGAATTACGTGCGTTATTTTTCGGTGAGTCCAAACGTTTTGTGCTTATGTATCTTATATTCATACAAAAAAAAATAACCATGGTTAAAACGTGATACAAAGTCAAATTAAAATCCAAGAAAAAGCTAGAAAAAAAACTGACGAATAGTACAATAAGTAGTCGAAACTTGAAAATATGTCTTCTTTTTCATTCTGTTAAAAATTCAACTCCCTCTGGAACTATAGAATATCGAGTCCTCTTAAGCTTTTTATTTTGATCGCTGAAAACTTGTTGAAAATTTGATTTTCAAGCGATTCTACACTTTTATCAGCTCTAACTAAAATTATAATGAACATAAATTCGAAGTTCTGATGTACAAGTAAATGTGATCGAGAGTAACTTATTGAAATCTCCAAAAATCCTTTTTTTTTTCAAATCGTACTAGTAGACAGCCTTTGTTTGCAATGAACTATTGATAAGTGTGTTTTAAATAGTTATTCTAGTCTGGAAAATGATTGAAACAGTTATCCTGAAAATTGAAAAATATCCATTAAAATGGATTCAACTTTGTTCCACGGCATTTGTATGTACTTCAATAGTTTTCAAAAATGCAAATTAACTAGAGTGAAATTAATGCTTAATCATCAGTATTTTATTTATTATACGAAAACTTATTACAAATAGCATTTTTCTTGTCAACTATCAATAACAGAAAAAGTAGATATAGCGTCCTCAAAGTCGTTGGCTATAAATGAACCATTTAATATATTGATTTTTGTATCAATAATTGGCACACTTGCTTAAAATGATTTCTTGATGCTTTATCAAAACATTTCATGATAGGTACTCTGATGAAATTTTAGTCTTCTTGGATACTAAGCTTGAAATTTTATTTGTTCAGTTTGTTAAAATATCGACTATGGTATGGTTTTGGATGTGCATGTCGATGGAGAAAGGAATAAATAAAGTCAACCTTATCTCACATCCATGTGCACTCCCACCCCCACCCTTTTTATTTATTTATTATTAATTTTTTTCGCTTTATTGTTGTACGAGAAATTTTTTTGAATTTCGGAAATATTTGGTTGAAATCAGTGAAATTCTAGTTGTCCCATTTTTCTTGGCACCAAAAAGCACCATTTTTGTCTTGTACCGCTCCGGTAGTCTCTCGCGGAATTGCAGCGAAGTTATTACATGAAATATCTGCTCTTGTTTCAGATATGGGAAATTGATGAACAGCACCATTTGGAAGTTGATACGGTGAAAAGCGGGGCGCTCTATGTACTGGGCGAGCTAAAAGTTGAACAGAGGAAGTGTGACTCAGTTTTACTTCATCATCTTCTTTTGATAGAGGATCCATCATGCAGTTGAATGGAAACTGTTGAGGGGAAATGTTTGAGGGACAAGAAACAGAGGGAAAAGGAACTGGCACAACGCGATGAATGTCAATACTAGTCTGAGTTTTATTAAACAATTTTTGTTTTATATCAGTATTATACACATTAAAAATCACAGATTTATGTGTCGGATCGATCGATTGACGTATTTTAGCTGAAGAACTTTGTATCACAAGGGGACAATGACGCTTTATATGTCCACACCGCTTGCAATGATGACAAATGTAGGACGTTGATTTGATCATTGGGTGTAGCGATTTTTGAATATTTTCAAGTAATTCCATTTCAGTAGTAGCGTTTGTTGGAGTATTTTTACACAAAATTGCATCAGTTGACGTTTTTGATCGAAGAACAGCTCGAATATTGCTATCGAAAATAGAAAAATATTTTATTATTTTTGAAAAAAGAATTTTGTTTCTACTCACTCATCACTAATATCATCAAACGAAACAGGTTGATGTTGAGCTGTCGCAGGGGTCAGCGGTTCGAAAGTTTCCCGCAGCCGTCTAACCACAATGACACTTGTATTGCGTGGAATTAAATCATGATCATCTCGGTACTCTAGAACAGCAACAAGAATGCATGTGGCAAAGAAGAGCAATAATTAGAGACAAACCTTCATTAGTTGATGCATTAGTAATGGTAAAATCAATTTCATCTTTCGAGCGACGTAACTTTGATTTCGATGATTTGCCCATTAGAGATTGTTTTAAATAACTCACAGAACAGCTCATGCCATCACACATAAAAAATTTAAAATCTTTTTCTGATTTGTATCGGTATCGAATAAAGGACATGGTTGTAGACGTCATAAGAAAAAATTAAATGAAAAATGCAAGGATAATTGCAAACTTTTATTTAGAAATAAACGATCAATAAAATGTACAAAAAAGATGTTTCACAACAAAAACAATCTGAAACACACAGTCAGTAAATAATACAGCTGAAGACAGTGATGAAAACCAGAAATAGTCGACGAACTTGCAAGATTACTGAAATTGTATAAAGAAAACAGGCGTATTTATACAGAGGACATTATCAAAACGTAAAGAGAAAATTTCCCTATGATTCATCACTATTTCGCAATAATATAGACATGTTGCGTCAGAATGTCTAAAGAACAGAATGAAAAAAGCTTGAGTCATCTTTCCGCTGATTATTTTATTTGAAGGGAGAGAACAGATCTGGGATGTTGCACTACTCATTGATGTCATGTAAATCTCTTGCATTAGTCGAAGCTTCGACCATTCTTAAGAAATTTTTAATACTTTGACATTGCAGGACCATAAGTCATAGAAACCAGTTTATTCTAAGTCTTCCTTAGATCTGATGCAATAATGAAGAAGGTAGGTCAATGAAATTATTTGTTTGAGAAATTACATAACAAATGCTATTATTTTACCGACACATAGGATTTGATATAATTAAAATAAGTACTGAAAGTGGGTTTTTTGTCCGTTTTATTTTATCTGAGTTGTAATTACAATTGGAGATGCTGAAAATGAATGTAGAAACCAAAACTTGCATTTTCATCAAAGATGAATAAATACATTGTAAACAAAAGACAACAAAATGACTTTTTACTAGTTTCTTGAAATTTTTGAAATGAGAGGCTGTGGGTGTTGGATGGAAAAAGACCCACACGCACACTCACCCTCGTTGGAAAAAAAATGGCCAAAGTTTGAAGATATATTTGTAACGATGATGATCGAAAAATGACCAATCGACAATTAAAGTCATCATTAGGAGTTACATCGTTGAACACCATCCATGTAAGCCTGATCACACCAGTAATCTGGCAATGTGTCATGGCTTATATAACTTCACCAATGGATCTTCAAAATCTAACTATCACTTATCGATTTCTATATGAATTGGTAGAGAGCGTACTAGGCTAGTAATCACCTTATTCGTACGACGTTTGACTACCGTCTTTGGCTGTCTCATGCTTAACAGATATTTCATCATCAGACTAATCAACGAATCGATTTTCATGTTGATATTGATGCAATGGAGAAAACTGAAGTAATTAATGAAGTGGGTGGACGTGGGTGTGTGTAAAAAATGTTGACACTCACACCCACACCCACACCCACACCCTTATATGAATCTTTCTGATTCCCTCCAAGTTTTGTATTGAGAATAGCATCGAAATGTTTTTTAATATGTAAAATGCTTAATCATCATGAATGAAATCGTCATAACTTTTCATAATTATGACACAATTTGAGTCATTTTTTTTTCAGATGATAACTCTTTTCATTCTCTACAAATCGGCTTATTTCAATCAAGTACCTATAAATATATTTGATATAGATAACATGAATTTACAAACAGGGATCGAAACTTTTGCGACATCCTTTATGAAAAAATAATCTTTTCATTGCGTCATTATTAATTAGCCAAAGGCAATGGCTTCACAAGTAATTATTATTCTTTTTTTCAGTCAATTTGTTACAGATCACCGGAAAGTAAGATTATATTCTAGTCCTTCGTATCTGTTTAGTTTCTAAAAGTATTGGGTTGGAACATAAGTTCTGAGAATTTATGTTTCAACCCAATATAGGTGAGATATTTATATACACATGTTGTTTGAGAGAAACGTTATGTACATATCAATTTGTTTTACACCCTGCAGATCTAGAATCACATGGAATACTCTTTCCTGAATACTATTTTTTAAATTTTTTTAAATTATCTCCATTAGTAATTTTTTAAAATTTTTTTTCAAGTCTTTATTTCTCGATTGTTAATTTTTCTATTTTTTAAAATATTTTAACATAATTTTTTTTTCAAATTTTCAGATTTTTATTTTCATGTTCTTTTTTCTATTTTTATAATATTTTAATTTTTCCAATTTTTTTCAA